GCATTGACAGACCCCAGAAAAGCTAGTTCGAGACATATGCGTGAACAACTTCTAAAATATACGCGCATCGACTGGGAACTCTATCGCCGACAAGCTGATGGGACCTTGGCGCGATGTTTGGGGCGAGACAGAGCGATGAAGGTGATGGCTGAATTGCACGATGGAATCGGAGGTGCACATAGGGCTGGCCTGATTATGAGATGGACTATCCTCCGGTATGGATACTTCTGGCCCCAGATCTAGCAGGATTGTATTGATTATGTCCGGGGATGTCTTTCATGCTAATGCCACGGCCTTTTAGCACTCATTCAATTCTCAAACCGTGGCCTTTTAGAGGATGGGCAATGGACATCAACGGTAAAATCCACCGCCGTCATCAAAAGGACATGCATTCATCCTCGTGGCAACCAATTACTTTACGAAATAGGTAGAGGTTGTCCCGTTGATCCAGGTATGGTTGAATCATGTTATTCGTTTCATTAAGAATAATATTATTTACCGATTTGGCATACCGAGGACTATCACAACCGACCAAGGGACGATGCTCACTAGCGTAAAGCATAAGACCTTTGTGGCACAATACGGCATCGATTGGTACACTATTCTCCGTATTATCCGCAAGCCAACTGGCAAGCCGAGGCTACAAACGAGATGCTAATCGTCATCATGAAAAAGGCACTGGAACGCAAAGTCCACTGCGACCGAAAGTACACCCTATAGACTAACCTACGGACAAGATGCGGTCCTACCCCTTGAGATCACGGTACTTTCTCTTAGGATCTTGAAACAAAATAAAATACCAATGGACGAGTAGGACTGGATGCTTTTGCAAGAGCTAGATAGTATAACAGAGGAACGTGTTCAGGCCCTTAAACACCTCCGGCTTCAAAAGAAGAAGGTTGAACGAACCTTTCAAAGACAGGTTCAGCCACGGTCTTTCCAGAAGGAGATTTGGTTTGGAAAGTTATCCTTCTGAAAGGCCCCAAAGATCCAAAGCTATGAAAATGGTCACCCAACTGGGAAGGTCCCTTTATCGTTTCGGCAAAGTCATCAAACGGCTTGTATAAGTTAATGGAACCCAAAGGTGGAAAGTTAAGACGTTCATTAACAGGAAACATCTAAAACCTTTTAATCCATCACTTTGGGATCTCGAAGAATGTCCGACTCAACAGCAGCCCGGAACAACTCCCGGCAATGCTCAAAACATATGATTCCGACAGCGAACTAGGACAGTTAGAGGATCAAACCTCTGGGATCCAACAAGTTCAGGCAGGTCAATCCAGACACTACGGATGAGATCATTTGGGAAGATGTGGGGATTTTATCTCTCTAGGAATGAAAGTAATGGTCTTTTCTTCCACCATATAAGGAAAGAAGGATGGCGGTGGCGTGTGAAGCTAGTGAAAAAACTTCTCCAGGGCATGTATATTGCAGTCTTTATTTGGAAAATATCATGGATTCAACATAAATAATTTTAGACTGCAAAATACATTTTTGTCCAAAATATTTTTGTGAGGGGAGCATTTGTTATCCCAAAACAATTTTAAGCCTAGCTCGGAGGTCCACCAAGAAGATCCAGCTGTCTGAGATTGAGCCGGCCCAGAGAAAAAACAATTAATCTCGACCGGCAACCCAAATAGAACGGCCCAAGAAAGGAGCTACCCAGTTCAGCTGGAAGCCCAAGATTTGGCCCAACAATTTGAGCAGAACCAGTCAATGGAGGAACTCATGCAATTATGGATAAAGAGAAGTGGAAGATTGGGGGAGGAAGTTTGTTCCTAAAAATGAGAGAATGCAGAGGAAATCTTAGCCATTATTTTCCTTTAGTTTTCATTTTCTATCCAATTTATTGTTTCAAGATTCATGTCACTTTAAAATTTTAGAATTCATCTGTTCCGATGCAAACAAAAAATCATATTATTCTAGTTGGATTCCTGTAAAGTATTTGCTTATCTTTGAATTTCTTGTTTCTTTCTTTCTTCTTCTTCCTTTTTTTTTTTTTTTTTTTTTTTGTTGAAATACTTCATTCAAGAAATGTACAGTTCTTCTCCATAATTCACTACATTGTTTATGCATATTTAGATCGATTTGTTTTTTATTGCAAAACTAGTCCAGGTATTTTTTTAAGTAGGCTGGAGATTCAAATTCTTGTTGATTTCGACTTACCTAATTTTATTGGGCCATCATCGATGATTTTCAACGATAACAATTATATATATAAACTAGAAGTATTATTTATAAGAAAATATTAAATCAATATATAATTTAATATAAAAAATAATATGTGCATATCACGGATTACACACTAGTAATATTTAATACTCCTTCCGTCCCTTATTTATGTATCCGTTTATTTTTTGCACGAAGTTTTAAGAATATTAGTATTATCTTGGGTTGTGGTACAAATAAAGTAGAAAAGACTAAAATAATCTTATTAGTATTGTATGATATAAATGTAATGACATTTGTGTAATATATTGTAAGAGTATTTTTAATGTTAGTAGAAAGTACAATTGCTAAAAAAAGAAATGAATACATTTGTTATGAGACGGATATTCAAAATAAGATATAAAAAACAGTGTAAACTAAAAATCATTTTTATATTATCCACGCACATTCACATATTTAATATAAAAAAAAGTATAAACTAAAAATCATTTTTTTTCTATTTCTACATCAATTTTTATTATTTTAATTTTAATTTTTCTAAAAAAACTATGGTTGTGTTTGTTTTGTGTTTTGATTTGAAGTAAATTTTTTATGTTAGGTATATGAAATTACGTAGATAATATAAAATAGTAAGTGTGTAGTATATTAATATTTTTGGAGAAATATGTAGAATTTTTTTTACAAAACAAACAAATCCTACTTTTTCTGCTGATATAATATAATATAAAATCAAATGTTCATTCTCTTCAATTTGAAGGTATATATTTATTTTGTAATTGAACTAACTCAAAATAAAAGTACTTATACTTTGTGAGTGGGCGAAAAAAGTATTATATTGATAAAGAAATCAAATCTACGAAGTTAATTCAAATTGAAAAAAAAAAAAACAAACACATCATAAGGGTTTGTTTGCCCATATTTTTTTTTTTTGAAACGAATCATTAATCTATATATTTTATATTTTTACAAAAGTCAAAATTAAATATAAAATATTATCTTTTATATTACTAACTCAGTTATCTATCTCTCCTGTAAAAGATTCTTCAAATCAAAATACTAAATAAACAAATTCTAAATGTATTTGTATTTTTAATTTAAAATTTTGGTAAAAGATAAATTTTGAATACTATATTTTTAATAAAAATAATACTACGATTCGTTCCATAAAATCAATACTATTTGTCTTTTGCGTTATTGTACTTAGTATTAAAAATATTCTTATAGTTGTATAATTTACTTCACAAATGTCATTGTAATAATAAAAAATACATATTTTTTTCTTTTTCTCTTATTTGTATTACGTGTATATATATGATTTAGTATTATACTCCTTCCGTCCAGCTAGAAAGTATATATATTTCTATTTTGAGACATCAAATTACAAAGTAAATATTTTATTAAATACCCTACTTTTTTCTACAAATATCTTTACTTTATATCACATCATTAGTTTTACACCAAAAAGTAAGGACAAAAATGTCATTACACTACTTTTAACTATCCACTATAATTAAAATACTATTATTTCTTAAACACTGTGCCAAATTAAATGTATACATTATAAGTGGACGGAGGCGGTATTTAGAGAGTGTTTGGGAAACAGCTTTTTAAAGAGCTTTTAACTGTTTGACCAGTCAAAAAACTAATTTAGGTGTTTGGTAAATTAGGTTTTTGAAAGAGCTTTTTGGGTAAATTAGCTTTTTGAAGAGCTTTTTAACCCAAAAATCTAATTTCTGAAAAGCTCATCTACGTTTTGAAAGAGTTTTTTATTTTAATTTTGATTATTCCTTACTTATCTTTAAAATTTAATTATTTATTTTATACATATAAATATATTTTTAAAGCAGTATTTATTAATTATTATTAATATATTTAATTTATTAAATTATATTTTTATTTTTTAAATTTAAAATAATTACTATTATTAATTATTACATATAAATTATATTATTTGTAAAATATATAAATTTTTAAAATTAAATCAAATAGAAAAAACAAAGATTATTAATTTATTTATATATATTAAAATAATAATTAACATAATAAAAATATATATACGAAATATTTATTATTTTAATAAAAAATTATTATTTTTTATTAAAAATAATTTCTTAGATCTAAATAATAAAGATAAAAATAAATATTTTATAATATTTTTATAATTTTCAATAATTAATAATAAAAATTCTCATAAATTTCAAATCAAAATAAACAAAATTAAGTATTTTAAAAAATAATATATCAATGTCTTTAATAGTCATTTTATATATAAACACTTAATGTTAAACAATTGTTCATTTTATCAGAAATCAGCTAATCGAATCAGCTAATCAGAAATCAGCTAATCGAATCAGCTAGAAGGCAAAAGCTATCAACTAATAGAGAAACTCACACTTAATATTAGTTGCCGAAAAAATACAATCCATGAATGTCATACGTTTTCTTTTAGTTACTATGCTTAGAATTTGGAAGGTGACGTGCCTAATTAATTAAATATAATACTTAATAGGAAATCACACCGGAAATTAAACATTTTTTCCGTATTTCTATTTATTACCTGCTATTTTTTTTGGTAAATGAAATTTGACCCGTCTCTCGTGCCCTAAATCCAACGGCCAAAAGAAAGCGATCTAGTACTTGGGCTCCCTCGATAAACGCCAGCCGTTGCTTCGATTCCAATAAAAAAAAAGCATAATAATAAATAGTTAATTTGAAATAATAATAAAATATAAAGTCGGACCCCACACAGAAATTAACTATCAATTGATACGAAAAATGAAGTCCGTTGACGTGGCAGCCTGCTAGTCGATATAAAAAGGCACAAAGGCTGTCGAAAATTGGACAGTGAGTGTCTAACATTGTAGGCGGAAAATTAGGGTTTGGCATCGATGACGGATGGTGAGGTGAAGAGGGGGACGGTGAAGTGGTTTAACGATCAGAAAGGGTTTGGGTTTATCACTCCCGACGATGGAAGCGAGGATCTGTTTGTTCATCAATCGGTCATCAAATCTGATGGATACCGCAGCCTCGGGGAAGGAGAGCAGGTGGAGTATCTCGTTGAGTACGGCAGCGATGGCCGCGCAAAGGCGTCGAACGTGACTGGTCCCGATGGGGCCTCTGTGCAGGGAAGCTCCCGCGGATCTTACGGTGGGAGAAGTGGTGGAGGCGGGTACAACGGTGGGGGTGGGGGCAGGGGCGGGGGACGCTCTTACGGCGGGGGTGGTGGCGGTGGAGGTTACGGCGGTGGAGGATACGGAGGTGGAGGCGGTGGTGGCGGTTGTTTCAAGTGCGGGGAGTCTGGGCATATGGCAAGGGAGTGCCCACAGGGCGGTGGGTACGGAGGCGGCGGCGGTGGATACGGAGGGGGTGGCGGCGGTGGATACGGAGGGGGAGGCGGCGGAGGCGGAGGCGGCTGTTTCAAGTGTGGGGAGACGGGACATATGGCTAGGGAATGTCCCAACAGCGCCGGTGGAGGAAGTAGGTACGGAGGCGGCGGAGGAGGAGGAGGCAGTGGTGGCTGTTACAACTGCGGGGAAGAAGGACACTTTGCTCGGGATTGTCCCAGCTCCACTCGCTGAGCTAGCTGCAGTGAGATGGTACATACCCCTTTCAAGTCATGAATGTATCGTTGGTTTAGTTGCCTGTTTTTTGGATTTTCTGCAGTGGTGAACCTTATTTATGTTTTATGCCTTTCGATTGTTATGGATTGGTCATCTTCTACAAACATGTTTGATTAGGATTTTATTTAACAATGAAAATTTGGATCTGGTTTTTGTTATGTTCAGGGCTTGCGTTGATTGTTATTATTATTATATTTGTTGAAAAGTGTATACATGTATATTGATATACATGTGGATTGCTTTCCTCGGATGATTTGATGATGAATGATTGGCAATTGATTGGCCTTTGTGTCTATTTCTTGTTAATCTCTTGTCAGCATTGCATTGTATTTTATTTATTGGTGAATGTGTGGATGAAGTATTGTAGATAACGTACCCTGCTGGCCTGTCCTAAATCTTGTATGAAATAGGGAATGGTAACTGTTACAGTTGTTTCCCTGGAAAGTCATTCCAAGAGACTTTTCATGGGTGGATTTTTTGTATGGACTGTAGTGGTTTGGGGAGGCAATGGAATTTCGATTGATTTCACCTTTTAGAAGTGATTTTCAACGTTGATCAGAAAGGCTTGTAAATTGATTGCCCCTTTATTGTGGTGGTCTGAAATGGCATTATTGCTTTACATCTCAATTATTTGTGTGCTAGAGGGGAAAATGCCTGGGATTCTAGCCCTGCTATAATTCTTGGTATTCAGAAGCAAGCTTAAGTGAATTTGAATGCTATTCTGTGTTGAGGCCTGTGGGATCTGTGAATTGTGTAGTTGACTTAATTGCATAGGTAGAATATGCAAATGGAAGAAGAGAAAACATGAGGTGTACTGAATGAATTATTGTATAGATATATATATGTATATGCTTATTATTTGCTGACAGTTGAACTTAATCATAAATCCTGCTCTCTGGTGATTGCTAGTCCTTACTATGCAATGCATCATCTTTGGGGCAAGATTTTGGTTGATGTTATCCAACTTTCTTCAAGGCTATGCTGCCGCCAGGGTCTGTGGAATGTTTAAGATGGGGTTAAACTTAAAACCCATTGGTTAGAGTGTCACGCTGTACATGTGAATGAGAATCAAGGATGGTGTGCTGTGTGCAATTTGCATATCTATACATGTAGTATGTATGAAGGGGGTGGAAATAGGCATTTGACATTGATACTTACTCTCTTTAATGGGCCGGTGGTGGCACATATATATGTTAACAACTAGTAGAATTTGCTTCTGCTTTTTAGGTTATAGGATTTGAGTGGATGAACCAGAGAGGAATTTGGTATACATAAAAATAAACCAAGGAGTTACTGCTCAAATGTGTAGGGGTTGTGTTTTAGTCAGGGGGATTCAACAAACACAACCCCAAACACTGACAAACTCCAAAGGGGTTGCCACATCAACTAGATGTGTGTGGTATGCCCAATTTTGCTGTAGCACTAACCCCAAACCTCATTTGCTCTCTGTGTTTGTGTGTGCGCTTTTTCACCAAAATTAAACTAAAATGATAAGATCTAGCCTCATTTTAGATCTTAAGTAATCAAAGAAAACATTAGTAGGTTTGGATTGGAGAATGAGGTGGCTGCTTTGGCTGGAACCTTGTTGAGAGAGGTTCCCTTCCTGGCCAGTGGCAACAACTTAGGGCTATTAAGAGCACTTAATAGTGTCTCATTAATAGAAGCCCTTTCCCTCAGTTTCGAAGCTCTTCTCTTCCCTTGTCATCCCAGTGATATACTTTTTGACTCTGCCATTTCGATCAAAAATAGAATGAGCCCTTGGGCAGGTTTAGGAATGATCAACGGAGTGTCGTTTCTCTCCATTGCCCTCTTTCTCTGCTCTCTGGTCTTCCCCTCTTTCCCAAATCCATTCTCGTTGCCGACGACCGCTCTCCTTTTTGTCATTTCACTGTGATGTCCTTCTGCCTGGCCGCCCTTAGCTCTTTGTTTTTCCGGCAACCTACATTCCTAATGAGTGAGGTATGGTAGCTTTGCACTAGCTTTTTGTTTTCAGGGTTCTAATTTTTTTTTTTTTTTTTTTTTTTTTTTTTCTCCCTAATGGCTATGCAAACATAGGCATGTTCAATATACAATGTGTCTAGAAATGACACGACTGTGAACCAAATAGAACAATGCCTTGTATTTAAACATAGCCGTATTAATTTCATACACGGCTGTGTTCAAGTAACAAAGTAATGAGCGGCTGTGTTCAAGTAACAAAGTAATGAGGGGAATGGGCATGATCATGTTTCAAGCTGTATATAGGAAGGAAACACAATCGTGTTAATGTAATACACGACTGTGTGTTTAGAAAACATGATGGTTCACCCTATATAGTAAACGAAACGGTGTTAATGTTGCGAGAAAAGTTTTTGAAGGACGAAGAGGAGAGAACTAGTGTGGCGGTTTCATAATTAAAATCGAGCCACATGTGAAATAGAAATTTATATTCTCACAAGCCATTGTACGTTGCTCCTTTAATGAGCCGGACTGAGTTGAATTTTTTATGTTTGAGATTGTTATGAATCTTTGTTAAAGTATGAGTTGAAAATTTTATAAATAGACTTATATGAAAAAAATTAGCATTATGTATAATATTATAAAGATATATTTATTAAATATAAAATTATTAATTTAATTATTTAAGTTGCGAACAATGTGTGACAGGTGGACCTAAAAACTTCGAATGTTTGAACTTATGATCTCACAGTCATAAATTTACCACCAAGCCATCGTTTACATGATGATTGAGTCTTAGTGCTAATTGCATGGTTGCGATACAAAACAATATTCCGCAATTGCTCTACCATGAGCTACTCGATTATCTTCAAATTCAAAAATTTTATATGGGGACTACTAAACAATTTTGTAGTTTTTACCCGATTTAGTTGTTGGATATTCTTTGATGACTCGTAGTTACTGAGAGACTTGGAAAATTATAGACAAGATGGTCGCCAGAAGGTCACAGGCCAATCGTGTGCCAAGTACGGTTGTAAATGAATCAAATAATTTTGTTTGATTCGATTTTCGATTCAAAATTTTATGATTTGAAATCGAATAAAAATATTTAATTCGATTTGAAAAAAATCAAATACAAATATGAAATTTTAATATTTGATTCGCTATTCGTAAATATTCGATTTCATGATAAAAAAAAATACACACATATATATAGTATAAAGTATAGAAATAACGTAAACTAAATTTATCTTAAATTTTATAAAACTACACTTAAGGGTATGTTTTACAAAGAGAGGGGAGACAATTATAAAATTTTTCATGTTTGGTTCAATTTTTTTAGAGGGAGAGAAGAAAGAGACGGGAGATGAGACAATCTCTTTTAATTTTTTTTTCTCCCTCTAATTTGGAGCCTCTAATTTGGAGGAAATTTGAGGGAAAAGATTTTAATATTTTATTATTATTTTTAATCTAATTACCTATTATATCCTTTAAATATTTTATTAAAAAATTTATAACATCTTCAAAATTTTAATATTTATTTATTTTATTTTTAATTATATCAAATAAATATTAGTATATATATTGTACGTATATTTAAATTATATTATATATTTTAAAATATTTTTAATTAAATATTTTAATCAAATTTAATTATAATATTCTAATAAATAACTTTAAAATAATTTATTTTTTTAAATGAATATATTTTTTTTAAACAAACAATTTATTATCTTTCAAAAATAATTTTAATATAAATACAATATCCACTCAACAGTTTCAACTTAAATTTCAATACAATTTTGCACTAAAGACATAAACAAAATGCTTAAAAATTTTATTTTATTATATTGGACAATATATTTTGTATAACATTGTATATGAATAAATTAATAGAATCTTATTAAAATATTTATATTTTTTATTTATTTATATAATATAGGGGCAAAATAGTAATTTTTTTTAATTTTCCTCCCCTCTCCTATTTAATCAAATAAAAAAAATATTATTTTCCTTAGCCTCGCCTCCTTTCCCTTTCATATAAACCGAAAACACTATTATAATTTTAATATTCTCTTCCACTCATTCGCTTCCCCTTTCTTCCATTAAAATCCATCCTCTACCCTCTCCTCATTTGGACCAAACAGACACTTATACACCGGTAGTTATTTATGTTAGAGTAAAAAGTCTTTTTTTTTGTCAATGTGAAAAAAATAATAAATACTAATAAATATGATTTTTTATCAAGTTTTTTTTAATAGTATTATTAAAATTTTAAATTAATAGAAGTTCTAATCGAATAATTTTGAATCGAATCGGATAAAATAAAAATGAATCACATTTTGAATCAAATATTTATATAATATTGAAATCAAATTGAATATTCGAATTGTATAATTTAAAAACTATTTCGAATCGAATACGAATATTATTTTAAGATTGAAAATGAATCAAATAGTCGAATATCTTTATTTTTTTTTCGGATCGAATCGAATGATGCAACATTTGGTTTGATTCAATTCGTTTTTACCAATGTCGAGAGATTTTCGATATTTAGTTTTAGATTTGTTAGATTTAGATTTAGATTTAGTCATATCCATTAGATTACGTTATTTAGATTTGAGTCTATCGAGTCTGTTTTAGGTTACCTATACATAGACCCTTTATTTTGACTATCAATAATGCAAGCTTTAGAGTTTCCGCAAAATATTTTAGCATGGTATCAGAGCCAAGTTTTCGCATGCCGTAGATATAGCTTACCAACCTACATTTCTCCGGATACATTCAACTTGGGATGTACCTGGAGATCTCTCAATTTTGAGATTTTTTCTATAGTTTCCTAGCCATTTCTTTTTATAATTTTGATTTTGTCTTTAGTCCTTATTTTGTCTACTTTTGAAGTCATAACTGCGCATCGGTCTATGATCCGTCTGTTGCGTTTCTCCAGTGCCATTATTTTCGATTCCATCGTGAGTGTCGTTATTTCCAACTCCATCGAGAGTCCTATTACTCCATCGTGAGTGCCGTTATTTTCGACTCCATCGAGAGTCATGTTACTCCATCGTGAGTGCTGTTATTTTCGACTCCATCGAGAGTCCTGTTACTCCATCGTGAGTGTGGTTATTTTCGACTCCATCGAGAGTCATGTTACTCCATCGTGAGTGCCATTATTTTTTACTCAATCGAGAGTCTTGTTACTCCATCATGAGTGCAGTTATTTTCGGCTCCATCAAGAGTCCTGTTATTTCCGACTTCATCGAGAGTCTTGTTGTTTCCGACTCCGTCGAGAGTCCCGTTATTTTCGACTCTAATTCAATTGAGAGCATTATTTCTGGTATTAATCATCATTGTCACCAT